CGGCGAATCGTTCCTTGGTTCACTGTTTGTGTCCAATCCAGGCCGTTGACGTACAGTACGTGGTGACCAATCAGCCGCATCTTCATCACTGGAACGATTCTTGCGCTTGCCAGTTTGCTGATACTCCATTTGACGCATACCTTCATCATCAAGACCAAGCGTGTCGAAATTCAAGTCATCAGCGACGTCATCTTCAACTGGTGGCGAAAGTCCAAAACTTGACTCGTCAAAGTTGGCATTCTGACTGACAACAACCTGCCCCGCCTCAATGTCAAATACACGATATGCCTTGGACACTTCTTCGTAGCCCAAAAAGTTTCCCGCTTGAGCCTTGGGATCCCACTTGATTTGCTTCGGAGTCACTATAAACGTCTGACATGCCGAATACTCGCATGTGCTTGAAACTTCGCTTGGAGTTGTACACGATCTCAAACGGGGTCTTATGCACATTTTTGGTGACGGTAGGCGATTCTTGACGTAGATGACCGTCATTGCTAATTCAGCCCAGAAGCACTTGTCCAACTTGGCATGGTGAAGCATGCTGCGGCCGATCGTGACGATAGTCCCGATGGCGCGATTGCTGTTCCGTTGTTCTGGTGTGCATACGGCACCGTCGTCTGCTGTTCAATGCCTTCATCCTCGTAGAAATCTTGAAGCGAGCTCGTCGCAAGCTCTCGAGCTCGTCGTGGCGCACAAACTTGACCTTCTTGACGAACTGCGTCTGCACCATCGTGATATACTTCTGAATGCAGTCTCCGCTTTCCGACTTTATGCGTAAACAGAACCCCTTCATACATCCACGATCAACAGCAGGTATTTGCTGCCGCCCAGTGAATCTTGCTCCATGGAGCCACAGATGTCGAAGTGCAGCAACTCGAACGTGTCGTAACTTCGCTTGTCACGATTGCTTGGGAATGGGTTTTGGACCATTTTCCCTTGCTGACATTCTCGACATGTACCTGATCCACTTGACTTGAGAGGCACTTCCACATCTTTGATCATGTTGTTGGAGACCATCTTGGAAGCACGTCGACTGTAGCATGACCCATACCATCTCACCCTTTTCTTCCTTTCTTTCTCACTTCCTTCCACTTCTTGAGAGGCACTTCCACATCTTTGACATGTTGTTGGGACCATCTTATGAAGCACGTCGACTGTAGATGACCCATACGTGCATGCAAGTCAGCACCGTTTTGACTTGTCGCTGTATTTGCCGATGGACGTACCGTAAAAGCCAGTAAAGTCCATCCATAAGATCTGCAGCCGCCACCACTTGATTCGAGTCCTTGTGAGCAACATACATCCTGGTACCATCAAACACTACTTGAAACTTGTCATGCTTGTTGATCTGGGGCACCGAGAGCAGATTCTTGCTCATGCTGGGCACATGCAAAGCGTTCTTGATCTAAAGATCACGCTCTTCACTATTTGGCAGAACCGCCTTCTTAATGATGGTTCCAACACCCTTGACGGCAGCCTTGTTACCATCAGCAACGAAAAATTTCGCCACCATGCGAACGACCAAGCTGGAAAATTTAGCTCTGTCATGACAGATATGGTGTGTCGCACCACTGTCAATTGCCCACACCCTGACACATCCTTGTTTGTCAAAATTACACATACCAAAGAAACTACAAATGCCACTCGATCGTGGCTGTTGCCTTCATCATATTGTCCCCACTGGACATCATTAGCCCCGCATCCACGATCGTTGCCGCCGCGTCGGGCTTCTCGACCTTATTCTTCTGCTTCGTCCAACAGCGATCCACTGTGTGCCCTACCTTGCCACAAATATGTGCATTGGTAAGGCTCACGCTCGGTGCTGAATGCCTTGTTTGCATCTTCAGCTTTCACCGTAGTCGCTGTTGTCGTCACCTTCTCCCCTTGACCCTTGGCGTGCTCATTTGTCAGCACCTTCACCACATCTTAGGTACGAAGTTCTGCATTGCTCATCTCCAAGTTCAGAACCACGTTCTCAAAACTCTTCGGGAGACTGAGCAACAAGCAGATCGCGATGTCTTCGCCTTCCATCTTGGCGCCGATGTTCAACACATCATTGCAGTGATGCAAGACGTTACCATCTTCAGCCATCTTCATGCTGAACAGCTGACGCTTGAGGTAAATCCGTCCGGCCTTCTGCGATCCACCGTACAACGACTTAAGACGTGACCACGCAACCCACGCTTCCTCACAGTCGTCGACCACGTGGTGATAATCCGCACCCATGTGAAGCAACATCAAACCACACGCGATGTTGCTCGTCTTGACGTAGTCTTCCTGCGCCTGTGGCTCCACAAACGCTGGAGTGTTCTCCCGGTTGACCACATGCCACACCAACTTGGTGAGAAGCACACCACGCATGTATCGACTCCAAATTGCATAGTTTTCCCCATCGGATTTATCGATGGAGACGTTGGAGGATGCGTGGGCGGCAAAAGACATGTACTTGGGCTCATACCCTGTTGCAGGGAGAGCACGGAGCGGAGAGAGAGAGGGAGCGGAGAGAGAGAGGGAGCGGAGAGACCGAAGAGAGAGCGGAGCGAAAGACACTTGCTCTGAAGTTGGAAGATTCGAAAGTGATTGATTTAGTTGGATGTTATTCTAACTACAGCCTGATTTATATTTAGTCCACCTATAAATCAGGCGACTGTTCACACCCTGATTTCTATGTAGTTCACATATAAATCATGTAGATCTTCCTATCAACCTACTCGTCTAGTCACCATCACTCTGCACTCCATGGCATAATCCTTACCATAATCGTGAACCGCATTGGGCCGGTTCGGGGTTACCCTGGCCACGGTCAAAGGCCGTCGGTATACCGGTTACCTCCAATACCCCCCCTCCCTCAATGCGAACACGTGCGGATGCCAAGCCCCTCTGTCAGCTCCTTGTGACGCGGTCCGTGAAGTCCCTTGGTCATGATGTCTGCTAACATCACCGTAGTCTCACACTAGTCTACTTGAGCTCGACTTCGCCGCACTTGACCTCATCACGGATGAAGTATCATCACAGATGTGATGGTACTTGATATCGATGAGCTTGGCATGGCCATGGTTGACAGGATTCTTCGTCATCTTGATGCACGATTGATTGTCTTCATAGATCATCAGCTCGGGTCCGTCCTTGTTGGCAGCTGTCATGATCTCACACGGCAAACGATGAATCCACTTGCCTTCTTGGACTGCCAAACTGAGATCAATGTATTCTGCTTCACTCTTCGACAGCGAAACACACTTGGTTGTTTCTTGCTGCCCCAGCTCACTGGCGCACCGAATAGTATAAACTTGGCTTGCGGTCGGCGATGTCGCCAACCCAGTATGCGTCCGAATATCCACGAAAGTCGATCTTGTCACCAGGCTTGTAGCGTATTCCATCCGTCTTAGTGCCTTGTAGATAGCGAAATATGCGCTTGACTGCAATCCAGTGATTGTCTTGAGGATTCTCCATGAATCGCAATACATAGCCCACAGCATAAGTAATGTCGCGTGCGTCGCAGTAGCCAGATGCATCAAGGCATCAACTGCTTCACGAAATGGACATTGGCCTTGGTAGCTGCATTGTTTGAAATAAGTCGAGAGCTCATGTCCACTGGACTTGACACAGCCTTGCAATCACTCATGCTAAATTGTTTGAGTAGGTCATCTACATACCTGCGCTGACACAATGTAACGCTTCCATCTTCTCCATCCAAAAGCTCAATTACAAGAACAAATGCACACTTGTCGCTATCAGTCATCTCAACGCGTGTCTCCAGGTCTTCCCTGGTGCGTGCAATCAACTTGGATGAGCTTCCTGTCACCAACACGTCATCCACATAGACCAAAATTTATACGCACTGTCTTCCATAATCTTGATGTAGATACATGGGTCGAAGCCTGACACCTGAAATCCAATGGAACACACAAACTCGTCAAACGTTTCGTTCCATACTCACAAAGCTTGCCTCAGGTCGTAAATTGCCGTCACCAATTCGAGACAGTCAAAGTCATCATCCAGCTCAACACCTTCAGGAACCACACAAAACACTTGCTCCTTCATCACACCATAAAGAAAGGCAGTCACCACATTCATTCAAGTGTCCATCCAAAATGCTTGGCGACCGCAATGACTATGCGTAAGGTCACACACTTGACCACGGGCGAAAACGTCTCCATGGAGTCGATTCCATACTTCTGGCGAAAGCCTTTTGCCACGAGACGTGCCTTGTACTTCTCGATGGATCCGTACGCTTTGTGTTTGATCTTGAAGACCCACTTGGTACTAATGGCATGTTATCCGTTGGGCAACTTGGCTGCACGAAACACTTCACGAAGTCGCATTGACTCGAGCTCCGCATGAATTGCCTTACGCCAGTGCACTTGATCCGGGCCAGTCACTGCTGCTTCAAATGTCGACGGTTCCGACAAATCCACTGCTGTTTAAACAGCATTCGCACTTGCACGCCAAACACAGGCGGAGTCGATTTGTCCAATTCTTTTGTTTGTTCATCTTCTTCTTTTTGGCGCGGCGAATCGTTCCTTGGTTCACTGTTTGTGTCCAATTCAGGCCGTTGACGTACAGTACGTGGTGACCAATCAGCCGCATCTTCATCACTGGAACGATTCTTGCGCTTGCCAGTTTGCTGATACTCCATTTGACGCATACCTTCATCATCAAGACCAAGCGTGTCGAAATTCAAGTCATCAGCGACGTCATCTTCAACTGGTGGCGAAAGTCCAAAACTTGACTCGTCAAAGTTGGCATTCTGACTGACAACAACCTGCCCCGCCTCAATGTCAAATACACGATATGCCTTGGACACTTCTTCGTAGCCCAAAAAGTTTCCCGCTTAAGCCTTGGGATCCCACTTGATTTGCTTCGGAGTCACTATAAACGTCTGACAGCCGAATACTCGCATGTGCTTGAAACTTCGCTTGGAGTTGTACACGATCTCAAACGGGGTCTTATGCACATTTTTGGTGACGGTAGGCGATTCTTGACGTAGATGACCGTCATTGCTAATTCAGCCCAGAAGCACTTGTCCAACTTGGCATGGTGAAGCATGCTGCGGCCGATCGTGACGATAGTCCCGATGGCGCGATTGCTGTTCCGTTGTTCTGGTGTGCATACGGCACCGTCGTCTGCTGTTCAATGCCTTCATCCTCGTAGAAATCTTGAAGCGAGCTCGTCGCAAGCTCTCGAGCTCGTCGTGGCGCACAAACTTGACCTTCTTGACGAACTGCGTCTGCACCATCGTGATATACTTCTGAATGCAGTCTCCGCTTTCCGACTTTATGCGTAAACAGAACCCCTTCATACATCCACGATCAACAGCAGGTATTTGCTGCCGCCCAGTGAATCTTGCTCCATGGAGCCACAGATGTCGAAGTGCAGCAACTCGAACGTGTCGTAACTTCGCTTGTCACGATTGCTTGGGAATGGGTTTTGGACCATTTTTCCTTGCTGACATTCTCGACATGTACCTGATCCACTTGACTTGAGAGGCACTTCCACATCTTTGATCATGTTGTTGGAGACCATCTTATGAAGCACGTCGACTGTAGCATGACCCATACGTGCATGCAAGTCAGCACCGTTTTGACTTGTCGCTGTATTTGCCGATGGACGTACCGTAAAAGCCAGTAAAGTCCATCCATAAGATCTGCAGCCGCCACCACTTGATTCGAGTCCTTGTGAGCAACATACATCCTGGTACCATCAAACACTACTTGAAACTTGTCATGCTTGTTGATCTGGGGCACCGAGAGCAGATTCTTGCTCATGCTGGGCACATGCAAAGCGTTCTTGATCTAAAGATCACGCTCTTCACTATTTGGCAGAACCGCCTTCTTAATGATGGTTCCAACACCCTTGACGGCAGCCTTGTTACCATCAGCAACGAAAAATTTCGCCACCATGCGAACGACCAAGCTGGAAAATTTAGCTCTGTCATGACAGATATGGTGTGTCGCACCACTGTCAATTGCCCACACCCTGACACATCCTTGTTTGTCAAAATTACACATACCAAAGAAACTACAAATGCCACTCGATCGTGGCTGTTGCCTTCATCATATTGTCCCCACTGGACATCATTAGCCCCGCATCCACGATCGTTGCCGCCGCGTCGGGCTTCTCGACCTTATTCTTCTGCTTCGTCCAACAGCGATCCACTGTGTGCCCTACCTTGCCACAAATATGTGCATTGGTAAGGCTCACGCTCGGTGCTGAATGCCTTGTTTGCATCTTCAGCTTTCACCGTAGTCGCTGTTGTCGTCACCTTCTCCCCTTGACCCTTGGCGTGCTCATTTGTCAGCACCTTCACCACATCTTAGGTACGAAGTTCTGCATTGCTCATCTCCAAGTTCAGAACCACGTTCTCAAAACTCTTCGGGAGACTGAGCAACAAGCAGATCGCGATGTCTTCGCCTTCCATCTTGGCGCCGATGTTCAACACATCATTGCAGTGATGCAAGACGTTACCATCTTCAGCCATCTTCATGCTGAACAGCTGACGCTTGAGGTAAATCCGTCCGGCCTTCTGCGATCCACCGTACAACGACTTAAGACGTGACCACGCAACCCACGCTTCCTCACAGTCGTCGACCACGTGGTGATAATCCGCACCCATGTGAAGCAACATCAAACCACACGCGATGTTGCTCGTCTTGACGTAGTCTTCCTGCGCCTGTGGCTCCACAAACGCTGGAGTGTTCTCCCGGTTGACCACATGCCACACCAACTTGGTGAGAAGCACACCACGCATGTATCGACTCCAAATTGCATAGTTTTCCCCATCGGATTTATCGATGGAGACGTTGGAGGATGCGTGGGCGGCAAAAGACATGTACTTGGGCTCATACCCTGTTGCAGGGAGAGCACGGAGCGGAGAGAGAGAGGGAGCGGAGAGAGAGAGGGAGCGGAGAGACCGAAGAGAGAGCGGAGCGAAAGACACTTGCTCTGAAGTTGGAAGATTCGAAAGTGATTGATTTAGTTGGATGTTATTCTAACTACAGCCTGATTTATATTTAGTCCACATAAATCAGGCGACTGTTCACACCCTGATTTCTATGTAGTTCACATATAAATCATGTAGATCTTCCTATCAACCTACTCGTCTAGTCACCATCACTCTGCACTCCATGGCATAATCCTTACCATAATCGTGAACCGCATTGGGCCGGTTCGGGGTTACCCTGGCCACGGTCAAAGGCCGTCGGTATACCGGTTACCTCCAATACCCCCCTCCCTCAATGCGAACACGTGCGGATGCCAAGCCCCTCTGTCAGCTCCTTGTGACGCGGTCCGTGAAGTCCCTTGGTCATGATGTCTGCTAACATCACCGTAGTCTCACACTAGTCTACTTGAGCTCGACTTCGCCGCACTTGACCTCATCACGGATGAAGTATCATCACAGATGTGATGGTACTTGATATCGATGAGCTTGGTATGGCCATGGTTGACAGGATTCTTCGTCATCTTGATGCACGATTGATTGTCTTCATAGATCATCAGCTCGGGTCCGTCCTTGTTGGCAGCTGTCATGATCTCACACGGCAAACGATGAATCCACTTGCCTTCTTGGACTGCCAAACTGAGATCAATGTATTCTGCTTCACTCTTCGACAGCGAAACACACTTGGTTGTTTCCTGCTGCCCCAGCTCACTGGCGCACCGAATAGTATAAACTTGGCTTGCGGTCGGCGATGTCGCCAACCCAGTATGCGTCCGAGTATCCACGAAAGTCGATCTTGTCACCAGGCTTGTAGCGTATTCCATCCGTCTTAGTGCCTTGTAGATAGCGAAATATGCGCTTGATTGCAATCCAGTGATTGTCTTGAGGATTCTCCATGAATCGCAATACATAGCCCACAGCATAAGTAATGTCGCGTGCGTCGCAGTAGCCAGATGCATCAAGGCATCAACTGCTTCACGAAATGGACATTGGCCTTGGTAGCTGCATTGTTTGAGATAAGTCGAGAGCTCATGTCCACTGGACTTGACACAGCCTTGCAATCACTCATGCTAAATTGTTTGAGTAGGTCATCTACATACTTGCGCTGACACAATGTAACGCTTCCATCTTCTCCATCCAAAAGCTCAATTACAAGAACAAATGCACACTTGTCGCTATCAGTCATCTCAACGCGTGTCTCCAGGTCTTCCCTGGTGCGTGCAATCAACTTGGATGAGCTTCCTGTCACCAACACGTCATCCACATAGACCAAAATTTATACGCACTGTCTTCCATAATCTTGATGTAGATACATGGGTCGAAGCCTGACACCTGAAATCCAATGGAACACACAAACTCGTCAAACGTTTCGTTCCATACTCACAAAGCTTGCCTCAGGTCGTAAATTGCCGTCACCAATTCGAGACAGTCAAAGTCATCATCCAGCTCAACACCTTCAGGAACCACACAAAACACTTGCTCCTTCATCACACCATAAAGAAAGGCAGTCACCACATTAAGTTGGTCAAGTGTCCATCCAAAATGCTTGGCGACCGCAATGACTATGCGTAAGGTCACACACTTGACCACGGGCGAAAACGTCTCCATGGAGTCGATTCCATACTTCTGGCGAAAGCCTTTTGCCACGAGACGTGCCTTGTACTTCTCGATGGATCCGTACGCTTTGTGTTTGATCTTGAAGACCCACTTGGTACTAATGGCATGTTATCCGTTGGGCAACTTGGCTGCACGAAACACTTCACGAAGTCGCATTGACTCGAGCTCCGCATGAATTGCCTTACGCCAGTGCACTTGATCCGGGCCAGTCACTGCTGCTTCAAATGTCGACGGTTCCGACAAATCCACTGCTGTTTAAACAGCATTCGCACTTGCACGCCAAACACAGGCGGAGTCAATTTGTCCAATTCTTTTGTTTGTTCATCTTCTTCTTTTTGGCGCGGCGAATCGTTCCTTGGTTCACTGTTTGTGTCCAATTCAGGCCGTTGACGTACAGTACGTGGTGACCAATCAGCCGCATCTTCATCACTGGAACGATTCTTGCGCTTGCCAGTTTGCTGATACTCCATTTGACGCATACCTTCATCATCAAGACCAAGCGTGTCGAAATTTAAGTCATCAGCGACGTCATCTTCAACTGGTGGCGAAAGTCCAAAACTTGACTCGTCAAAGTTGGCATTCTGACTGACAACAACCTACCCCGCCTCAATGTCAAATACACGATATGCCTTGGACACTTCTTCGTAGCCCAAAAAGTTTCCCGCTTAAGCCTTGGGATCCCACTTGATTTGCTTCGGAGTCACTATAAACGTCTGACAGCCGAATACTCGCATGTGCTTGAAACTTCGCTTGGAGTTGTACACGATCTCAAACGGGGTCTTATGCACATTTTTGGTGACGGTAGGCGATTCTTGACGTAGATGACCGTCATTGCTAATTCAGCCCAGAAGCACTTGTCCAACTTGGCATGGTGAAGCATGCTGCGGCCGATCGTGACGATAGTCCCGATGGCGCGATTGCTGTTCCGTTGTTCTGGTGTGCATACGGCACCGTCGTCTGCTGTTCAATGCCTTCATCCTCGTAGAAATCTTGAAGCGAGCTCGTCGCAAGCTCTCGAGCTCGTCGTGGCGCACAAACTTGACCTTCTTGACGAACTGCGTCTGCACCATCGTGATATACTTCTGAATGCAGTCTCCGCTTTCCGACTTTATGCGTAAACAGAACCCCTTCATACATCCACGATCAACAGCAGGTATTTGCTGCCGCCCAGTGAATCTTGCTCCATGGAGCCACAGATGTCGAAGTGCAGCAACTCGAACGTGTCGTAACTTCGCTTGTCACGATTGCTTGGGAATGGGTTTTGGACCATTTTTCCTTGCTGACATTCTCGACATGTACCTGATCCACTTGACTTGAGAGGCACTTCCACATCTTTGATCATGTTGTTGGAGACCATCTTATGAAGCACGTCGACTGTAGCATGACCCATACGTGCATGCAAGTCAGCACCGTTTTGACTTGTCGCTGTATTTGCCGATGGACGTACCGTAAAAGCCAGTAAAGTCCATCCATAAGATCTGCAGCCGCCACCACTTGATTCGAGTCCTTGTGAGCAACATACATCCTGGTACCATCAAACACTACTTGAAACTTGTCATGCTTGTTGATCTGGGGCACCGAGAGCAGATTCTTGCTCATGCTGGGCACATGCAAAGCGTTCTTGATCTAAAGATCACGCTCTTCACTATTTGGCAGAACCGCCTTCTTAATGATGGTTCCAACACCCTTGACGGCAGCCTTGTTACCATCAGCAACGAAAAATTTCGCCACCATGCGAACGACCAAGCTGGAAAATTTAGCTCTGTCATGACAGATATGGTGTGTCGCACCACTGTCAATTGCCCACACCCTGACACATCCTTGTTTGTCAAAATTACACATACCAAAGAAACTACAAATGCCACTCGATCGTGGCTGTTGCCTTCATCATATTGTCCCCACTGGACATCATTAGCCCCGCATCCACGATCGTTGCCGCCGCGTCGGGCTTCTCGACCTTATTCTTCTGCTTCGTCCAACAGCGATCCACTGTGTGCCCTACCTTGCCACAAATATGTGCATTGGTAAGGCTCACGCTCGGTGCTGAATGCCTTGTTTGCATCTTCAGCTTTCACCGTAGTCGCTGTTGTCGTCACCTTCTCCCCTTGACCCTTGGCGTGCTCATTTGTCAGCACCTTCACCACATCTTAGGTACGAAGTTCTGCATTGCTCATCTCCAAGTTCAGAACCACGTTCTCAAAACTCTTCGGGAGACTGAGCAACAAGCAGATCGCGATGTCTTCGCCTTCCATCTTGGCGCCGATGTTCAACACATCATTGCAGTGATGCAAGACGTTACCATCTTCAGCCATCTTCATGCTGAACAGCTGACGCTTGAGGTAAATCCGTCCGGCCTTCTGCGATCCACCGTACAACGACTTAAGACGTGACCACGCAACCCACGCTTCCTCACAGTCGTCGACCACGTGGTGATAATCCGCACCCATGTGAAGCAACATCAAACCACACGCGATGTTGCTCGTCTTGACGTAGTCTTCCTGCGCCTGTGGCTCCACAAACGCTGGAGTGTTCTCCCGGTTGACCACATGCCACACCAACTTGGTGAGAAGCACACCACGCATGTATCGACTCCAAATTGCATAGTTTTCCCCATCGGATTTATCGATGGAGACGTTGGAGGATGCGTGGGCGGCAAAAGACATGTACTTGGGCTCATACCCTGTTGCAGGGAGAGCACGGAGCGGAGAGAGAGAGGGAGCGGAGAGAGAGAGGGAGCGGAGAGACCGAAGAGAGAGCGGAGCGAAAGACACTTGCTCTGGAAGTTGGAAGATTCGAAAGTGATTGATTTAGTTGGATGTTATTCTAACTACAGCCTGATTTATATTTAGTCCACATAAATCAGGCGACTGTTCACACCCTGATTTCTATGTAGTTCACATATAAATCATGTAGATCTTCCTATCAACCTACTCGTCTAGTCACCATCACTCTGCACTCCATGGCATAATCCTTACCATAATCGTGAACCGCATTGGGCCGGTTCGGGGTTACCCTGGCCACGGTCAAAGGCCGTCGGTATACCGGTTACCTCCAATACCCCCCTCCCTCAATGCGAACACGTGCGGATGCCAAGCCCCTCTGTCAGCTCCTTGTGACGCGGTCCGTGAAGTCCCTTGGTCATGATGTCTGCTAACATCACCGTAGTCTCACACTAGTCTACTTGAGCTCGACTTCGCCGCACTTGACCTCATCACGGATGAAGTATCATCACAGATGTGATGGTACTTGATATCGATGAGCTTGGTATGGCCATGGTTGACAGGATTCTTCGTCATCTTGATGCACGATTGATTGTCTTCATAGATCATCAGCTCGGGTCCGTCCTTGTTGGCAGCTGTCATGATCTCACACGGCAAACGATGAATCCACTTGCCTTCTTGGACTGCCAAACTGAGATCAATGTATTCTGCTTCACTCTTCGACAGCGAAACACACTTGGTTGTTTCCTGCTGCCCCAGCTCACTGGCGCACCGAATAGTATAAACTTGGCTTGCGGTCGGCGATGTCGCCAACCCAGTATGCGTCCGAGTATCCACGAAAGTCGATCTTGTCACCAGGCTTGTAGCGTATTCCATCCGTCTTAGTGCCTTGTAGATAGCGAAATATGCGCTTGATTGCAATCCAGTGATTGTCTTGAGGATTCTCCATGAATCGCAATACATAGCCCACAGCATAAGTAATGTCGCGTGCGTCGCAGTAGCCAGATGCATCAAGGCATCAACTGCTTCACGAAATGGACATTGGCCTTGGTAGCTGCATTGTTTGAGATAAGTCGAGAGCTCATGTCCACTGGACTTGACACAGCCTTGCAATCACTCATGCTAAATTGTTTGAGTAGGTCATCTACATACTTGCGCTGACACAATGTAACGCTTCCATCTTCTCCATCCAAAAGCTCAATTACAAGAACAAATGCACACTTGTCGCTATCAGTCATCTCAACGCGTGTCTCCAGGTCTTCCCTGGTGCGTGCAATCAACTTGGATGAGCTTCCTGTCACCAACACGTCATCCACATAGACCAAAATTTATACGCACTGTCTTCCATAATCTTGATGTAGATACATGGGTCGAAGCCTGACACCTGAAATCCAATGGAACACACAAACTCGTCAAACGTTTCGTTCCATACTCACAAAGCTTGCCTCAGGTCGTAAATTGCCGTCACCAATTCCGAGACAGTCAAAGTCATCATCCAGCTCAACACCTTCAGGAACCACACAAAACACTTGCTCCTTCATCACACCATAAAGAAAGGCAGTCACCACATTAAGTTGGTCAAGTGTCCATCCAAAATGCTTGGCGACCGCAATGACTATGCGTAAGGTCACACACTTGACCACGGGCGAAAACGTCTCCATGGAGTCGATTCCATACTTCTGGCGAAAGCCTTTTGCCACGAGACGTGCCTTGTACTTCTCGATGGATCCGTACGCTTTGTGTTTGATCTTGAAGACCCACTTGGTACTAATGGCATGTTATCCGTTGGGCAACTTGGCTGCACGAAACACTTCACGAAGTCGCATTGACTCGAGCTCCGCATGAATTGCCTTACGCCAGTGCACTTGATCCGGGCCAGTCACTGCTGCTTCAAATGTCGACGGTTCCGACAAATCCACTGCTGTTTAAACAGCATTCGCACTTGCACGCCAAACACAGGCGGAGTCAATTTGTCCAATTCTTTTGTTTGTTCATCTTCTTCTTTTTGGCGCGGCGAATCGTTCCTTGGTTCACTGTTTGTGTCCAATTCAGGCCGTTGACGTACAGTACGTGGTGACCAATCAGCCGCATCTTCATCACTGGAACGATTCTTGCGCTTGCCAGTTTGCTGATACTCCATTTGACGCATACCTTCATCATCAAGACCAAGCGTGTCGAAATTTAAGTCATCAGCGACGTCATCTTCAACTGGTGGCGAAAGTCCAAAACTTGACTCGTCAAAGTTGGCATTCTGACTGACAACAACCTACCCCGCCTCAATGTCAAATACACGATATGCCTTGGACACTTCTTCGTAGCCCAAAAAGTTTCCCGCTTAAGCCTTGGGATCCCACTTGATTTGCTTCGGAGTCACTATAAACGTCTGACAGCCGAATACTCGCATGTGCTTGAAACTTCGCTTGGAGTTGTACACGATCTCAAACGGGGTCTTATGCACATTTTTGGTGACGGTAGGCGATTCTTGACGTAGATGACCGTCATTGCTAATTCAGCCCAGAAGCACTTGTCCAACTTGGCATGGTGAAGCATGCTGCGGCCGATCGTGACGATAGTCCCGATGGCGCGATTGCTGTTCCGTTGTTCTGGTGTGCATACGGCACCGTCGTCTGCTGTTCAATGCCTTCATCCTCGTAGAAATCTTGAAGCGAGCTCGTCGCAAGCTCTCGAGCTCGTCGTGGCGCACAAACTTGACCTTCTTGACGAACTGCGTCTGCACCATCGTGATATACTTCTGAATGCAGTCTCCGCTTTCCGACTTTATGCGTAAACAGAACCCCTTCATACATCCACGATCAACAGCAGGTATTTGCTGCCGCCCAGTGAATCTTGCTCCATGGAGCCACAGATGTCGAAGTGCAGCAACTCGAACGTGTCGTAACTTCGCTTGTCACGATTGCTTGGGAATGGGTTTTGGACCATTTTTCCTTGCTGACATTCTCGACATGTACCTGATCCACTTGACTTGAGAGGCACTTCCACATCTTTGATCATGTTGTTGGAGACCATCTT